AGGTCAAGCAGCCCGGTGCACATGAGGAAACTGAGGCCAGAGCGTGCCCACCTCCTCGTCTCAGGCCCTGACCAGAGAGCCGTCCGTGGCTTTGTCACTGTCCACACACCGCTGGGGGGGAATTACAGGCTGGGATTTTCTGCGGGGCCCACAAAATACCCATACAAAAGCCCAAAATGAGGCTAGAGTTGGACTCCTCACTCCGTAAGAGCCTTCTCCTGGGAGAGAAGCTTGTACCTCCAGCTCAGAACAGCCTGTCAGGTCCCAGGGGAAAAGTCCCTCACCCTGGCGGTCCGTGTGAGCACAGCCAGCGGCTTGGTGGACAGACCCCCACCGGTCAGTGGTGGTTTGCTCCTGTGAAGGCAGCGTGTCCGAGATGAGCCCTGGGAGGACCAGCCTTGGTGCAGGGTAGCAATAGTCTTTTTCAGTTTAGTAAACGGAGTTCTGTATATATGTGTTTAAAATACAGTTCAGTATAAACTGTACTTGAAAATACTTGTTTTCAGTAAACCATTTTCGGAAATTCTTGTTTACCAAATTGTTGTTGTTTAGTTGCTAAGTCGTGCCTGACTTTTTTGAGACCCTGTGCACCGTAGCCTGCCAGTCTCCTCCGTCCATGGGATTTTCCCAGGCAAGAACACGGGGGTGGGTTGCCACTTCCTTCTCCAGGGGATCTTCCCGACCCATGGTTTGAACCTGTGTCTCCTGCGTCAGCAGGCAGATTCTTTACCACAGCGCCACCAGGGAGGCCCCATTTACCAAATTAACTTTCCTCAAAAAAACTGATTTGGACAAGTGAAGTGTCTGGTGCCTGTGAAATGTGTTTGTAGTACAGTTTCATATTCATCCAAGTGGAGCTGTTAAAAGACAGTGACTATATGGCGCTCAGAGACAGTGTCTAGGCTGAGTAGTAATCAAATTATTAAAACAAGAAAAAAAATTTATAACTAGATATGGTGATGGATAATAAGACTTACTGTGGTGATCATTTTGCAATATAAACAGTGAAACATTTCATACACCTGAAACTAATATACTGTTATATGTCACTTGTATCTCAATTAAAAAAAAAAATGCTGACTCCCATAAAACAAAACAAAAATCCCAATAAGACGTATCTTAAGTAAAGAAGTACTTCCTTGCATTTAGGTTTTGTTAGTGGTAATAAAATAAGCAGAGACAGATAAACACTCATCTGATGGGGGGGAAATTAGGAATATTTGGCCATGCCCTGCAGCGTGTGGGATCTTAGTTCTCTGACCAGAGATCGAACCTGTGCCCCCTGCATTGGAAATGCAGAGTCTTAACCACTAGACCGCCAGGGAAGTCCAAAAAGAGGGCATTTTGTTGTTGTTGTTGTTTTAGCTACAAGTTCAATTTGAGCCTGAAGTTCTAAAACAAAAAAAAGAGGGGCTGGGGAGGGACCTGAGACTATAATTACAACTTTAAAAATAGTGGTTGATGTTTCAGCATCTCCCAGGGGCAAGCACAGCAGTGGATCCATACCTTACCATCTCCACTGAGCAGCCTCGGAGGTGTGGAGGGGGTGGGTTGGCTCCGCACGCAGCACACTGTCCTTGCCCTCCCCCCCCCACCTCTGCTGGCCTCCCCTGCCTAGAGTCCCACATCCCCTTCCTGAACCTGCCTGGGGCTGACAGCTCTGCATCTTTAAACCCACACCGCAGTTTCTTCAGAAAGTCTCCCCAGTTCCCCCAAGCCCTCCAGGCTGAGAAGGTGTGTGATCATTTGTCGTCTTTCCTGAGTAGCTCTGAGCTCGCTGAGGGCATCTCTGCATCACTGAATGTGTCTTGACTGCTCACTGGCATCTGTGCTTGTCAGATGAAGACAGGAGGGTCACGCAATAGTGGGACCCAGACCCCGAGAGAGACTAGACCAGAGCTGTCGGAACACCTTTGCACCTCTGGAGGGTGCGGAGTGGACTGTCCCTCAGGACGAGGACAGCTCAAGCCGCTCTGCAGCAAAACAAGCTGGTTTGGAGGGCAGGGAGTCCCCGTGTCCGGCAGCTTCGTTCAGAGGCTCCGTGGGCTATGGGGCTGCTTTAGAAGATGGGTCGTGTTGTGCGGGAGAGAGTGGTGTCCTCTCCAGAGCGCTCTTCACAGGGGCCAGTCATCAGGCCCCTGCTCTGTGCCAGGTTCCTGAGACTGCAGAGAATGAGACCTACATGTCCCTGCCCTCGGGCAGCCTGCACCCTGCAGGCTGTGTCTTTTCGGGTCTTCTAAGAGGCAGGCGCCAAGACCCCGAAAAAGGTTAGTTACCAGAGGTCAGTGAAGGATGGAGGGAGCGGAGAGGCCCACAGAGCCTCAGGCCACGAGGCAGGTGTGCAGGAGGAGAGGGGCAGGAAAGACTGAGGAGGAAGCATCTCTGGTTCGGGCCTGACTGAGGAGGTTCCCCCTGGGGAGGACCCCCGCGCCCACCATGGACCAGGTAACCTTGTCACCCTTTAGTCGTTGGCAGAGACCACGGCCTCTGTGCAGACGAGGTGGGTGTCCAGGGGCAGCAGCTGGGACCTCTGGTGAAGCCAGGCTCTTGGAAGCCGAACTGGAGGGCGCTCCCCCACGGCCATTGCACAGGGTCTCCGCAACACGGGCCCTTCCTGGCTGCTCCCCCAGGGCGTCTCGGGGCTTTTGCGTCCCATGCCAGCGAGTGCCACAGCTGGGACTTGGGCTCAGAGCGCCTGACTTGATCGAGCCTGTGCCTTGTTACCGAACGCCGTGCTGCATCTCGCGGTCGCTCCCCGCTCCTGAGCCGGCATCCGAGCGCACACATGCTCGCTCCCTTCCCCGTGAGCGCCTGAGCGCAGCAGCAGGGAGTGCCACACTTGGCCCCGACCCTGACTGGTAGTTAGTTTACATCAGGAGGGGACTCGGACTTGATCTGGACCAAGGTCTGCTGATTCTGTGTACAGTTCACTCTGATTCCTAGCAGACTTCATGAGGACAGGGCCCCAAAGGCTCAGCCAGCGGAGCAGCAACTGCTTGTATTCTCCTGAAAGATCATGGTTTCAGGCTCCAGAACTCAGAGAAGGCAGAACATAGTGCTGTGTTTGGTTTTCTTTAAAAAATATATATTTTTTTAGGTGTGTATTTATTTGGCTTTGCTGGGTCTTAGTTGCAGCATGTTGGATCTAGTTCCCTGACCAGGGATCAAACCTGGGCCCCCTGCATTGGAAGTACAGAGTCGTAGCCACTGGACCCCCAGGGAAGTCCCCTAGTTATCTTTTTGTTTTCCTTTCTTCTCCCTGCCAATATGATATGGCCGTCTTCTGGGAAAACCCCTGCCTGTTTGGCTCATCACTGATTTCCCCTTATTTGTTTGTTGAACGAATAATGAATCATGGGGAAAAAAGGTGTAGCACGATGGCAGAGCAAAACCCGTATCGTCCACTCCCAATACTTGTGTCCACAGACAGCCCTCGACACAGGGCTTGGACGGCTGACGTCAGGGGGACCCCAGGCTCCTGCTCCCCAGGGCAGAGCTGAGGGGGCAGCAGCATGGTAGAGATGGAGCAGAGGAGGTATTTGGGGGGGTCTGGGTGCGCTGGACGTGAAGTCATCGGCTGGACTGCTGTGGAATGTACGGAGAGATTCATGTACTGTGGTGAGACGGCATGTATGGACGGGTGTCTGCACGTGCCTGGATTACCGTTAAGATAATCATAGTCGGCACATGGTCCTCCACCTTCTGGGAGTCTTAGTGGAGCGGGTCCCGGGGAGGCTCAGGCGCCGACTGCTGAGGCCAAGCTGAGGTTGTTCCAGGTGCTGAGGGCCAGTCGCTTGAAACCACAGGTTTGCCGCCTGGTGACCCCTGGGAGGGGGGCGAGGGAACTTCTTCGAGTACTCGGTTTCCCTGCCCCTTAAATATGGTGACGGGACTGACTGCCTCTGTCCTGCCTGCTCAGTCTCCTCGTGACCGTGGCCACCACACACGCTTTCACTTCCTCAGACACTGGCCCCGACCTGCTGGGCTTCACTTTCCACTCCAGATTCTTGAGCTGTGTTCCTCCGGCCTCCCTTTCCACTAGCAGCCGCTGCCTGCCGCCACTGGTGTGCCTTCCTTCACAGCCACGTCTCACCTTTGAACTAGGGGCTTCCAGTAGACTAGAGACTGAGACAGTGGATGTTCAAGGTGATGAGGCTTCCATGGAAGTGAAGAGGCGGCGGGCTCGGGGAAGCTGGCCCCGAACTGGTTGGTGGCAGGAGTGGCAGCGCGCTGACTTCACTGATGACTATCTTCTCTCTTCAGGCACCTCCTTTGCTTTTTCCCTGGTTTTCTGTCATATTCTGAGCAGGGGAAGGTGCTTGGAAATGTCTCCAGTGAAGTAGGGTGCAGCCATCTGTTTATTTTTATTTCCATCACTCTGTTCCTTAGACGCGCACCTAGTCGTGTTACTGTCTACATAGCTTATGTGAAGCTACACTCTCGTAGCATCACCAGTTGAGCATTTTGTCGGCTCTTGTGAAGAATGTTATTGATGTTGTGTAGAGTCAGACAGAACTGGTTGGAAGTCCCAGATAAAATCACCAAATACCTGTGTGAATTTGCATAAACCTTTCCAAGTCTCCAGGCCACTCTTTTTCTCATCTAGAGAATGGGGAGAAGTGACTGCTTCCTAAGTTGTGAAGCTTAGGTGCTTCAGTGCGTTTTCTTGTCTAATCCTGTGCCTGGAATATCATAGACAGCACATTATGGCTGAAATTCCTTTCTCCATTCAGTCACTTTTCCCCTGAAAGCAGAGCTGAGTCTCATCCAGGTACCTCCATGGAAATGTTGACCCAGGAGCTCTTCTCCACTCCCCTGGTCTGTGCAGACTTAGAACCCATCACTCACCCAGCAGCCCTTCCATAGGGAGTTGGACACTCTGGGGACCAGGGAGTTCCTCTGTGTCAAGTGGCAGCTGGCCTCAGTTTCAGAAAAGGACAAAGCCAGCATCCATCCCTTGTGGCTGAGGCTGACGCTTACCGTTTTCTCTTGCTCTGCAGTGAACAGAGTATCTGCCAAGCCCGGGCTTCCGTGATGGTCTACGATGACACCAGTAAGAAATGGGTACCAATCAAACCTGGTCAGCAGGGCTTCAGCCGGATCAACATCTACCACAACACTGCCAGCAACACCTTCAGAGTCGTTGGAGTCAAGCTTCAGGATCAGCAGGTAAGTGCCGGAGGGACAGGCCCTGCCCGCAAGCCTGCGCCACACACACGTACACACGCGCGCGCACACACACACACGTACGCACACACGTACGCACACACGTACACACACGTACGCGCACACACACATGTACACACATGTACACACAGGTACACACGCACGCACACACGTACACGTACGTACACGTACACACACACGTACACACACACATGGCGACATGGCGGAGAAAGGTCAGAACAGCACGGTCACGGTTTAGTCACAGATCTGGGTTCTAAGTCCTGACGACATACTTTCGTATTCCCAAGGCGTAGGACCCTGAGCACACTGTCTTTTGTGAGATTCATTTTCCACGCCTGTCTTATAGAGACAGTAATCCACACCGTGCTGCCCTCAGTATGTTGTATCACATTAGAATAAAAATAAAATAATAGATGTGAAACAGTTTTTCAAAATGTATTGTACAAATGTGTTAGTATTATTCTCTGCCTTGTTATTGTTGTTCGTTGCTAAGTTACGTCCGACTCTTTGCAACCCCATGGACTGCAGCACGCCAGGCTCCTCTGTCCTCCACTATCTCCCAGAGTTTGCGCAAATTCATGTCCATTGAGTTGGTGATGCCATCCAACCGTCTTATCCTCTGCCACCCTCTTCTCCTTTTGCCTTCAGTCTTTCCCAGCATCAGGGTCTTTTCAAATGAGTCAGCTCTCTGCATCAGGCGGCCACAGTATTGGAGCTTCAGCTTCAACATCAGTCCTCCAATGAATAGTCAGGGTTGTAATGAATAAAACAACAACGTTCTCTGCCTGCATACTTATAAATATTGGCTTGGCCAGAAAGCTCGTTTGGATTTTTCTTTAACATCTTTTCTGTAAGATGTTACAGAAAAATCCAAACGAACTTTCTGGCCAAACCAATACTTTAGCTGTTAAGAGTTTTGGTCCACCAACCCCCTGAGTCTTACTTTGGAAGGTAAAGAAGGTACTTAAATCTTCAGGATGATGTGAAGATTCTGGGATCATTTATCTCCTTAGTAGTGCATCCTGGGCACATCAGATGAGAGAGATTGTGAGTGTATCTGGTAAGTACCTGTGCAAGTAAATACAAGGTAAGTCCACCTGTGCCAGGGGTAGTTTGGAAATATAACTCGACAGAGCGGTCTGGCGTGACGTGGACTGAAACAGAGACATAGACAGAGGGCTCGCGTGGCTTCACCACAGTGACTTTGGTTGGGGCTTCAGCTCTCTTCTTAGTGACTGACGACATTTTCAGCAATGAAATGAACAGATCTGTAGTTTAGCATTTATGAAAACCTCTGCCTTAAATAGCATCTTCTGGCAGCCTGTGTCGGTCAGTCTTTGGCTGAGCTGAGCAGCAGGTTAGCTGCTATCTCTGCAAGAATCATCATGTTCACAAATAGAAAAGAGAACAGAAACCAAGACTCTATTTTTAAAACGTGTTGCCTGTTGAATGGGTTTCTGCTTTGGCCAGAACAGTCCAATTGAATTCCAGATTCTTGTGGCTGAAGAGCAGAGCCTCACTTCAGAACCCCTGGTCAGGGGGAGTCTGTCTGACCTGGAGCCCTGGGCTCCTCCAGGTCAATCTCCATCCCTTGGGGTTGAGCCTTCCTGGCAGGAAGGTTATTCTAGGAAGCTTCTAGAAGCTGTTTCCCTGTTCTTCCATTTCATTGATTCTTGCCCTGCCTTTTAGAGGCACACTGCACCACACACTGCAGGGGCATATGACACCTTTAGCCCCAACTGCAGTGACAACCAAAACATCTCACACGTTTCCCTAACACCTATGGGTGGGGGCCAACAAGGCAGTTCCACTCTGGTATGCACTTTTGATATACAGCCCATAACCTCGTGCAGTTCCTAAATCACAGTGGCTGTTCCCTGCGTGGTTGTCGCTTTTATGAGGACAAGTTTTCCATTCCCTTCGTGCCTCTCGGTTACCCTGCAAGGCATACTAGGAAGATACCATGGTGTGTGGGAAGGGCTTGGGACTGGAGAACCAGATTCCCTGAAACCAGCATAAACCTTGTTCTCAGGAGCCTCGACCTCCTTCAGAGGAAAGCACATATTGGGGCTCATTTGGGAGGAGGCCTTTCGTGCATCGGGGCAGGGTGGGGGGCAGGCAGGCAACAATCTTCCAGGAAGGTTCAGAGAGACTCTGTTGCCTTAGCAGTCTTCTTGGGCTGACAGGGGAGTTACCAACACAGCCTTCTGCTGCATTGGAATGTATGGAATTACATATGCAACACATAGGCTCCTGGGACATGGCTGCAACTCTGCCTGGGTGGCTGGAGCATGTTAGTCAGAAACACAACAGAGATTCTCAGTAAACCAAGGTATTATAGAGAGTGGCAGGAAACCTGGTCTGTAATAACCTTTATGGACACAGGAGAAAAAGTTGATTTTCCTCAGGTCTGTTTTCCAGCCAATATGGATTACAAGGTCAAGCATCTTAAGAGAAACAGAAATTCCTGGTCTTATACCCAGATAGGGATATCTTATATGTTTAATGCTCTTCATGGCTTATGGAGCACTCTTCATGTCTATTATTTCATTCCCCCAATAACACCAAAAAGGATAATGCTGTAAGAATTCTCACCCCCATTTTGCTAAAATGCTGCTGCTGCTGCTAAGTCACTTCAGTCGTGTCTGACCCTGTGCGACCCCATAGACGGCAGCCCACCAGGCTCCCCCGTCCCTGGGATTCTCAGGGCAAGAACACTGGAGTGGGTTGCCGTTTACTTCTCCAATGTGTGAAAGTGAAAAGTGAAAGTGAAGTCGCTCAGTCATGTCCGACTCGTAGCAACCCGATGGACTGCAGCCTACTAGGCTCCTCCATCCATGGGATTTTCCAGGCAAGAGTACTGGAGTGGGGTGCCATTGTCTTCTCCAATTTTGCTAAAATAGGTGGACATAAAACCAGGTGATTGTGTGTGGGGAAAAGGACTGGTAAGTTACAGTATCATTAGCCAAGGTCTAACCTGAACCTCACATTGAAGGGAAGAAACCAAAAGACACTCAGTTGAGAATGATGTTTCATTATGTCCACTGGAAATGTTAGCTCCCAAATGTAGTTCTCAGGCTACATTGATAGAAGTAGCAGTGCAGACGGAGGGAGATTATAGTCCTGCTCTGCTCCACCATGAACTGGTCGTACTTCACCATGAACGTCAGGACCAGATCTGAGCACCACATGGCCTCTCTAACGAGGACAGTGCCGAAACTGGTGAGAAGGCTGAAAGCAGCGCTAATATGTGGAACAGTTGAAGAAGTAGCAAGCAATACATACTTGGAGGAGAGAAAAACTGAAAGGGGCATGAGCACAGTTTTCAGGTCTCTGAAGGGCTCCTTCTTCACATGGAAGGAAATCTTTTTCTGTGAAGCCCAGAGAACAGAACTAGGAATACTGCATGGATACTACAATCAAGAAGATTTAAACTCCATAAAAGAAAGAACTGTTTTACAAGCATCCTATGGAAGAGTATATTGCTTTGTGAGCCCACGAGCCAGCTGGCCATTTGGTAAGCATCCTGGGAAGGACATCCTGTCACTGGGTAGAGATTTGGATGTGGTGAGACCTCACATGAGGCCTTGGCCAGCGTGTAGACCCTGCAGGTTTCAGACCCAGATGAACTCGTGGGTCAGGAAGACTGTTGCCCACCATCAGCTTCTTTCTCTGTAAAGGGCTCTTGACTGTTCTTACTCAGAGGCCTCAGAAACATGTTAGACAGTATTTGGAGTTGCAAGGCCTTCCTTGAAGCGGACAGGGATTCACTCCCACTTGTTCCTGCACTCCTCAGAATAAAACATGTGCACATATAATTGTGGACTGTTACATACACAAAACAATGTGACCTTTTAAAATAAGTTTACCCTTCAGTACTTGTCTAGATTATTCCTGCCAAAGCTTGGAGAGTTAGTTTTAAAATAAAGCATGTAAGGACATAGGTTGAAAAGTAACAGGGAAAAAACATAAACCTTACAGACACTGACCAAAGAAAATGGTGTGACTGTATTAATATTATACAGAATAGACTTCAAGGCAAGTCTTTACTGAAGATAAAGGACCTATTTAGTGATAAAAAGCATCAGTTGAAAAGGAAAATATAATAATCTTAAATTTGTAGGCTCTAATCGCAAAAATGGGCAGTTCTAAAGGAAGAAATAGAGGAATCCAGAAGCCTTGTTGGCGATTCTGATGACACCTGCAAGAAACTGAATAAGCAGACAAAAATAAGCAGACATAGAAAATTTGAAGAGTGTTATTGACCAACTTGACCTAATCTACATTTATAGAAACTGTAAGCAGTCACAGCAGAATATATGATCTTTCAAGTGCACACTGAGCACTAACCAAAATAGGCTACATTCTCGGCCACAAAGCCAATTTCAACACATGCAATAGGATTAAAATCATAGAGTTTTTCTTTGATCACAGAGGAATTAAGCAGTATGCTGTTAAATAATCCATGATACCGAAATAAAAAAGAATTCACAATGTAAATTAAAAAGTATTTTGAACAGAACAATAGTGAAACTGCACTGTAGCAAAACGTGTGGGATGAAACAGCATATAGGGAAGTGTATAGTGAGAAATGCATATTTTGGAAAAAGAATGAAAAGGCAATGACCCAAGCTTCTATCTCAAGAAGCTAGAAAAAAAACAAACATAAACCAGTAAAAATAGAAGGAAAAATTAAAACCTAAAATTTAATGAAATAGAAAGCAGATACACACTAGAGAAAAGGCAAAATATTTTTGTTTTTATTTTTTAAAAAGAGTCTAGGTAGACCTCCATGTATATGGTCACATGGTTTATGACAAAGGTGCCATTGTACTTCATGGGCTAAAGATGGTCTTTTCAACAGATGATACCAGAACAATCAGATATCAATACAAAAAAAAGAAAATTTACCCCTAGCTCATGCTGTACCCCCAAATTAATTCAGAGTCAACCTAAATATGAAAAGTGAATCAGTAAAGTGT